CTAAGTCCTGTCCTACTGTGAATAGGGCTGACCTGTATAAGCAACAAAATTCCCAAATTGATAGCCATGACGTAAAGCAAAGGATCAGTGGTCAAATGACTGAGGTCTTCAAACGAACAACATCTTCAAAATATTTGTAAAAAAAATTCCCATCTAGAATCATATATCCAGCCAAACGAGAAATCCACTGTGTAGGTAGGCTTAGACATATATAGGAATAAGGGTATCAAAAATTTACCTCTCATACAGTCTTTCTCAAGAAGCTATTAGGATATGTTAGGGGCAGGACCAAGGTAAAGTGAGGTGCTTTCTTGCTTGGGCACAAAACTTAAAGGAGCATCAAAAAATGTGGTGATCAAGATAAAAAATATTTTAGTGCAATATTTAAAAAACGATTTGCCAAAAAAGTCCATGATGAACAAAAATACCAAAATGTTAAAGAGAGAATCCAAGAGGGCTGGGATTAAGTAAGGGGAGGCGAGTCAGGCCAAGTTCTGCAAGTGCAGGGTGGGGTCCTGTCTTCATTACCCGTTTTGGTATTTTGTTACTTATACGCATCAGCCCTACTTGAAGTGGGACACAACGACATAGGGTCAGGAAGACAAGGAGGGGAGTCTCATTGGGGATCACCTTGGTTCCTGGATATCACAATGACAAAAATTACATTGTGATTTTACTCGGTAAAATGAAGGTACAAGAATGTGTATGTCTGGTGGGCTGATGGTGGAAATGAGAGTTAAGGGCTCATATTCTATGGTGGGTAGTCGATAGATATTCCTGCCCAGCAGAACCCAGGAGTAATATTAGCATGTCATTAAAAGACATGGGTATAAATACTAGAAAAAAATGGATAAAAGATTTGAAAGCGATTCTTTCTGGGGAAAGGACAATGGAGAAAAACTAGGCAGGGGGCTGGGGACTGCTGTTTGTCTTCATGCTGTAGAATAGTTGACTCTTTAAACTATGTGCATATATGACTAGTAAAAGAAATTAAAATAAGTAAATAAATGTTTGAGATTTCAAAAAAAAAGACTCTGAAGTACTCCTCATGAGGAGTGCAAAAATTTATTGGACTGGATTACATAATGTATGGACTGGATTACATAATGTATGATTTTGACTTTGGATTACATGTAGAGGTGGGTGCCAGCACTGTATGAATGCGAGGGCCTCTAGCAATCTTCCTGAGCTTGTCCATTTTCCAGGGGAGAGAGCTGCTGCATCTGATGTAACTCTCACAACTGCATAGCAAGGTATGACATATCCCCAGATGAGGGATACTGACAGATGAGGGAAACTGAGGCTCAGAAAGGGAAAGTAACCAGCCAGAGCTAGTCACTCCATCGCTAGTAAATGACATTGGGGTAGACTGTCCTCTTCTGTCAGATGAAGAGAAATGTTCTGTAGAGGAGTTCTGAGAATGAAATGAATTAGTGTATATAAACTCCTGTCACACAACACCAAGAAGCATTAGGTTTCACCCCTACCTACTCCGACACAAGACCTCTAGGCCTAGGGCTCAGTCACCTTCCCATGACATCATGCAGCTCTCTGACCAGTATGGGAAATCAGGTAGGAATACACCTGACTATGACTGAAGGGAAAGAGCAGTATGAGCAGAGAGGCTTTATAAGGATGACCGAGCAGGACTTCATGGAGACAGCAGTATTAAATCTGGACTTGAAAACGAGACAGGAGGGAAGAGGGCAGGGCATGACCATTAAAAGAATGACAGAGCAGTTAGCACGAAGATGGCAGGAGATTCAACTCCCAGCAGACCTTGAGGCCCACGATGAGGGGAGATTTGACTTCTAGTAGAACTTGAGCTTCAATATATGCTCATTGTGGTACATTAGCATGGTAAATGGCACTCCCATAGGCTCCATGACAGTTCTGAGGCTAACCATAAAAAGTAAAAAAAAAAGTGGACAGTGGCCCAGTTCCTGCGAGTCCCAGCGCCTTCCCCAAAGTAGTTGGAATAATCCTCCCACTTGTTAGCATATGAAGTTACCCAGCCCATAAAAACTAACAACCTGCAACTCTGTGGCCTTTCCCTTGCCTTTTGAGATGATCTGTACTCTGTCTATGGAGTGAGTATCTACTTTTACTTTAAACCCGTCCCTACACTTCGTGGCCTCTCTGGCCTTCTGAGACAGTCTACACTCAGTCTATGGAGTGTGCATCTCTCTGAAAAAAAATCTACTTTTACTCAGCTATAGTTTGCGTTTGAATTATTTTCCTGCTTGAAGCCAAGGACCCTCACTTAATGGTGCACATTCCAGGGACTGACCTGGGACCTGGGGCATGGCCATCCTCTCGCACCTCATTTTTCCTGTATAAAATGTTTTGTTTGATTTTAAGAGATGGAAAATAGATAGGAGGATCCTGAGACTGCACATTTGACAACTAGATAGGGCATGGGGTGGAGTGATGGATGTATAAGTATCCCATAGACTGCAGTGTGTGAAATAGTGTTATTCAGTGCCTATGTGCTAAGGTATCGGCTAGCCCTGGGCCACTGTACTTAAGCTCACACTCCAGGCAAAGAGTCTGGACTGATCCCTCCCCAACTGAGCTCCCCACCTCCATCTGACAATCTGCAGGAGCCCAGGCCCCAGCTGGAGGGGCTGAGGGTGGGGCAGCCCATCAAGGCTGTATATCCTTCAGAAGTGATGGTGGGGATGGGGGTGGGGAGTGCCACAAAGGCTATGGGCAACCCTACTTCCACCCCCTGGAAAAGCTGGCATGAGAGAGAAAGGCCCAAGATCTTGCTTTCCACAACTCAGACTAGCTGGGATTCTATTTTTAGCCAGCACTGTCTTAGTTGACAGCTTGCAACGCCTTCTCCCTCCTTTTCTTCCTTCCTCCTGCCTCTTGCAGCCCAGAGCCCTGTAGAAAGGATGGATGGGAGCAGCCTCAGCACTGGTAAACAACAGATCACTCGCCTTTCTCACTGCCCTTCACTCCATCCAGCCTTTGTCCAGAGTAGTTAGTGGGTGGACTTTAGAGGTATTATTGGCTGTGAAGATAATAAGGCTTACATTTCAGGGCTCCTCACTTGCACAGTTTTCTTCCAAGGTCCTGGGCAGTGTCCTAGCAATTTTGTATATAATTTTGTATGTTTTTCTTAAAAAAGGGGGCACTCAATTTTATAAGCTTCAGGCCCTGCAAAACTTGGGTTCACCCCCTGATGGATATGGTTTCTTTCCCACCTCTAGCTGTGTCTGCTTACAATAGGATTATTTCTGTCTTGCTCTAATTTATTGTATGACCTTGAGCAGTTTATTTTGCTGCTCTGGGTCTCAGTTTCCTCATCTGTTACAAGATGAAGTGTCAAGGAGCCCTCTCCCAGCATACCATGCCTCTGAGCATCCGTGTGTTTCCCCTTGGTGAGGTCATCTGCTCTTCCCCGTTTGTCACTGAGTGTGTCCAGGGGTGATGTTGCTGTCTCTGCCTCTCTCTAGAGCTGCATCAGTCTTACAGGCAGAAGAGATGCTGGGCTCTGGGACTCCTAGGCAGGCCCAGCCCCATGCCTCCCCACCCCACACTGCCTCTTTGTTGCTCTCCAGTAAGGGTGCTTCCATGGGGCAGAAGCTTGACTAGGTTCTGATACCAGGGAAGAGTGGTATCTTCCCTGTACCTGTCATGGTCTGACCCATTGTGTTTCCAACACACATCGAATAAACTAAGTCTTATCATACAGTGCTTCCATTTGTCATTAAAATTTTAATAAGCATCTATTAATAAAGTACCTTAATAAGGGCATCACTTTAGGACAATGTGCTCAAGAATTGTGATGTGTCATGGATACCCCACCTCCCACCCCCACTCCCATTCCGAGCTACAATGTCCGACACAATGTCTGGGATGACCACCCAGAGAGAGTTCACACAGCCTCATCTAGCCTCAGACCACAGACTTTTTGGCAGGAGGTCATGCACAGGAATGAGCAGCAGGGGGAGGGACCCAATAGAGAGGACTCCACCCAATCCTGTGCCTCCTCATGTGCCCCAAAAGAGTCCAAAAGGAAATTTAGGACGAAGCCAAGATATTTAGTAGTTCTTGAAGAGGTTGGGTGAGGGAGGAGGGGCAGGGCCATAGTATTTAACTGGAAAGGAATGAAGGGACTTTGCAGTACCAAACAGCCGTGGGTCTGGGAAGCATGAGATTAGGCAGGTTGGTGTTTGCAGCACTGATTGGGGAAGGGCACTGTGAGGTCAAACTGGGGGCCGCCTGGAGCATATCAGGAGTCAGCCCTGTGCCAGGCTCCAGAGCCGTTAAAGACTCAGTGCCATTACTATATGTGTGAGAATTTCCACTGTGTAGATTGTCCACTGCGAGAAACGCTGGGTCTGTTTATGTCTAAGGTCAGTGCCATGTCTCTTCGTGCCAGGCTCAGTCCCGTATCAAGGGTGCTTCGTCTCCTATGTAGGGGTCCGGCTTGTTTCCTTTGTGTCAGGTAAGCCACCTTTTCCTTTGCATTGGGGTTAGTCCATGCT